ATACACATTACACACTGATGCACAGTATCGGGAGCAATTTGGGGTTCGGTATCTTGCTCAAGGATACTTCGACATTTGCCGGGAGGAGCCGGGGATCAAACCAACAACCTTCTGATTAGTGTACGACCCGCTCTTCCTATGAGCCACAGCCAATAAATTATCAGTTGATATTAATAATAATTTATTTGGACTTCTTATGCAAAACCATTGATAGGCTTTATGTTCTATAAAAGCCAAAGTTTTTTTTATGAATTTTACTAGAAAAAATAAATTAACATTTGAGGAGAACTGTTTTGTGTATTTTGCCTGTGTAAACAACAGTGTTGTCAGTTAGATTTGGTTAGAACAGAGCTAGCATCTTTTCTCACTTAATGGTAAATGGAACTGTACTTGTATAGCACCTTTCTAGTCTTCCGACCACCCGTTTTTACACTACATGCCACATTCACCCTTTCACACAAAATGAAGTCAATTGAACGGAAACTTACTATTCATTCACATTCACACACCGATGACATAGTATTTGGGGTTCAGTATCTTACTTGAGGATACTTCGACACTCAGCTGGAGGAACTGGGAATCGAACTGTCAACCTTCTGATTAGTGGACAACCTGCTCTGCTCTACCTCTGAGCCACAGCTTCCCACAATTAGGCTTAGCCTTTCTTTATCAACTCCTTTTTACTTTTTATACTAAAATGCTAAATTATTGGGTTTTATCGTATTGTTATCAGACATGAGAAGCAGCTTATTATCAATTATCGTATTGGCTGAATTCTTAAGTGCTCCTAGTGGCCTCTAGAGGCACTGATGTTTATTGCACCCAACAATACTAATTTGTTGGATTGTACCAACAACACACTGATGATTATACTACTCTTATGGGCCTTCCACACCAACAACAATAACTATAACTATAACAAAAACTATAACCATGTGAGCATCCACACTGATCAACGATCCCTGGCCCACGTCCCCCAGAACGCACTGCATGCCGACTGTGTCGGCAGCCTAATGGCAAAATGGATAAAGTTACTGCCGTATATACCGCAGAGACACACACACAAAATTAGGACATGGGTTCACAAAGACATTTAGGAGACTCCAACACAAGAAGACAAGATTAATTTTATAGACAGCTTGATTAAAAAATAAAAAACAGGACATCTTTAAGGACTATAGAGACCCTGTCAACACTAAAGACTGTTGGCAGTATGTCTTAGGTAAAAGAAGATTTTTATGTCTGATTTGCAGCCTTATATTACATTACATAAGTCTTGGGGCGGCTGTGGAGACGAGGGGTCATCCCAATAGAGGTTGTGGTTACCCGCTCCCTTGCACGAGCAAGATATTGAATCCCGAATTGCTCCCGATGCCGTGCATCGGTGTGTGTGATTGTGTATGAATGCATTAGTCTCATCACTAATACCACAATATCGCTCATCTAATTGCTCTGAAAGTGATCCCAATGATATAATTTACCGTTGTGTTGTGGACTCCATCCACTTGAGTTATAGATTTGTAGTTACTGTTGTAGTTATCGTTCTTGGTGTGGATGCCCTTGGAGGTTTGGTTGTTTGTCCTGAGGGTGGCCTTAGAGGAAAGGTTAATAACAAATCTAATAGAACCTTCATCATCCTTGGTAGCATGACTGTGCTCCACAAATTCACAACAATGACTGATTAGTTTAGTGGTCCCAAACCCTGCAGCCCTGTCAGATGAACCCCTGCATCAACACCACCAATGATGTCCCAAATGTGTTCATTGACTTTAAACTGTTATTTAACACTATTGACTATATAAAAGCGTTTTTCATACAGTTGAACTGTGAGTGTTTTATTGGTTTAACTTTGCATTCATACCACTTGTGTCACAAGCCAGATGTTTCACATTGATACTTTAACAGTAACCATTTATCCATTTTCAACTAAGTTTGTCAACTATCTATCCAATACTCTTGGCTATTTTAGCTACCATTAATCAATTTTAAAATGATTTCTTTTAATCATTTATATGTTTAGATAACTTTTTTGACAATTTATCTGTTACTTTTAGCTATCTGACCATTTATCCATGACTTTTAGTTAACTATTTAGAAGTCTGTGCTCACTTACTAAGGTAAATTACCTTACTGGCTCAATATGTTATATAGATATATACATTTTTAATTGAAATGTTATTTCTATTTTCTAAATTAGTTGAGTTACTCCACAATATTTTCATGCACCCCCATGGCATCTGCAGAAGTACCAGCTGGCGGACACACACCCCCTAAGCCTCGTCAACACTGCCAGGTATGCAATTCTGGTATAGAATACTGCCCTGCTTTTATTTTAAATAATACAGTAGTCAAATTAATTTCATGTTGTCAAATGATTTGGTCTAAATACTAGATTCAGCCTTAAAGAACAACATCATAATATGAGTGTAAAAGGAAAATTTTTCTATTCAATTCAATTCAATTCAATTTTTTTTTTTAAGGCCAAATAAAAAAAAAAGTTATCCAGGTTTAAAAAAAAAAAGGAAACAAAATTAAAAAAAAAAAAAAAAAAAAACAAAAAAAAAAAAAAAAAAAAAAAGGAAACTCCTTTAAAAGGAAAACCAAACCCCTTTCTATGTCATTTAATCCTCCAAATGAAGTAATTTCTGCAACAATCAGCTGTTCTCACATTTGTTTTTAAGTATTAAATTAAATTTGTATTAAGATGTACTTTTCTAAATTTTTCAAGGACGCACACCCTCGGGAGACTTTTAAATGAAGCGCTGAAGAAGGAAGCAGGCCGGCTGCTACAATCCACTGACAATGAACGGTAGCGTGTTGCACGTCCCCTGTTAAAGTCCAGGGGCAGAGGAGGGGAATCTAAAATCTGATTGGCCACCGCACGTGCCACCCCATTATTGTTCCCTCTTCCACTCCGCACAGAGGCTGTAGGGCTAAATATTTTCAAAGGGATCCCCTGACCTCTGACCTCAGGATATCTGAATAAAAATGTGTTCTATGGGTACCCACAAGTCTCCCCTTTGCAGACATGCCCACTTCATGTCAATCCCATGCAATTTGGAGTTTGTTGCATGTGGTATAAATGTGTTATATTTGCCAAGTGTATTTCAATATTTATGCATACTGGGGTCCATAAAGAGTGTTGGAACTGCATAAATTGGGAATGAGTGGAAAGCTGAGACACATACTTCATGCGTCAGTTTCAAAATAAAGCCTGAAAGGTTTGGTTAGGTTTAGGCACAAAAATTACTCAGTTAGGTTTAGGATCTAAATTACGTCACATACACAATGTAACTATATACTTGTTATGCAAAGTTATGTTTATTCATATACTTGACGTACCTGACGTAACTTTAACATAACATACCAAACTTACGTCTGTTACTTAAAATGATTTGTTGTAGAGAAAAGATAGGTAAACGGACACTTCCAAGTCTTCCAGGACATATGTGGACAGGAGGAGGTGGAGATCGAACCACCAACCCTGTGATCAGTGGACGGCCATCTCTACCACCTGGGTCACAGCCACCGCATAAACACCACTTGGAGTAAATGTCAGTAAATATCACACATCATTAGAATATGTTTAACATATTATTATGTCACCAGAACAAGACAACCTGGATGTTGCGCTGATAAATAATCCTTATGTGTGACATGTGTCTGTTGCTTGGATACAAGCTAAAACTAACATAAGGGAAGGGTTTATCTTCATGCTAAATGATTAGCCAGATACCCAAGTGGGCCATAAGATAACATAGAGTCCTCCCCCTGAGCCTGCCATTAGATAAACCTGTAAAGACACTCTGTGGCTTTGTTGTTCTCCTCAGTGGATTGCTCATTTGTCAAGGTGCCTTCATGATCATTGTTTAAAAAGCTCAGGCCTCATGAGGCTGCTTCATCATGATGAGCAGAAGCATTTCTGGCAGCATTATAAATGGATACAATCAGGGGAGATGGGATATCATTATTTGTGAAGTATTGGACCTACAGAGAAAAATAATTCAGCTGACATAAAAATGTTTCTTGTATGAAAAGTGCACATTTTCTGTTATTCTATCCTAATCATGTTGTGATCCCCTTCTGAAAAGGACCCATGTAATCAATCATTCAATTTAGTCACTGCATTTCCTACCAAAAAGAACACATCAAAAGTATTTGCACACCCTAACAAAGTACGTGTACACCTGAGCTTTACAGTCATACAATATATGATTGTTGAACACATCATTCTGACTTCATGGTCATTAGTGTGCTGCTACAACAGCATCCACTCTGGTTTAAGCTTTTTTACCAGATGTTAAACCTGCTGGAGGGATTTACTAACCTTGCCACACAGCGGGACTCACAACATCACAAAATCACAAGAGAATTCATCTTGCCAGGCATCAAGCTGTGCACTTATGTCCAACCACAGTGGGTCGGACAATTCAAAGTCCTATGAGGAACTACTGGCAGGTACGGCATGAGTTGCTGCGTATGGAAGCGAATTGTGACCAAAATTTAAATTTAAATGCATTTGCAGAAATGCTTTTTCATTTTAAGAATGTGGCTGCATTATTTGACTCATAAATAAAATTAATAATCAATCATCCTATTTGCATTTTAATTTTCTTCTTCGAGACTGCTCATTCTTTTACTTAATTAAAGTGAAAAAGAAAAAGACATTTGAGATTTACTTTTCAAAATATGCCCCAGCAAATAGATACCAAAATTCAATTTGAAAGGTAAAATTTTAAAATTAAAATGCATTTTTCATTTTAAGAATGTGGCTGCATTATCTGACTCATAAATAAAATAAGTAATCAATCATCCTATTTGCATTTGCAGTGTCTTTAGCGTCCCTAGTGGTAGTGACCATAGACATATACGCTCCTGAACAAAATCTTAAGACCGGGAGAAAAATTACAAGTATTCGCATTTTGCGTTGGTGGAACATAACCAGGTTGTAAGTGGACCTTCAAAATGCCAAAAGAATAAACAGGAGCAAGAGACAAAACAATAGAGGAGGCAATTTATTGAAAATTGCATTTAAACTCAAACAGGCTGTTCATCAGCTGATCAAAAGTTTAAGACCATAGCCTTAAAAAGTCCAAATCTGTGCAAAAATCTGGCTTTCATGTCATTTTCTATCAGGCATTCACACTGTCATGAACACCTGATACAGGGCTCCAGACTAGCTTTTTGCATTGGTTGCACTGGTGCGCCTAAATTTTTTTTTTTTAGGTGCACCAGCACAAAATTTAGGTGCCCCCAAATTTTTCATTGCGTTGCCTTTAACGCCGTAAGGTCACCTTTTATCGCTCTCCATAACTTTCATAAAATGTGAATGATTTTTAAACAAGAATAAGGTGTAGAGAAATCCTTGTCTTTATTTGAAGCACAATTATATATAAAAAGAAAAATGAAGTGTTTAAAGTGCTTCACTGAGCTGAAGTTGAACATTTCAAACTAAAACACTAAGCAAAATAAAACATTTCCAAATAAAAGAGGACCTGATTACTACTACCTGCTGCTGAAATGCAGCTGGGAGAGGGGCCACTTTCTCTACACACTTGTCACGGCATATCATGTGTTTTTTAGACATGTTATGTTTTTTTAAAGTTTCGATATGAAACGTTGTTGACCTGCTTACGAGTGCACTATTTCCGGCCATATTCTGACCCCACCCTGACGACACGGTTGCGTACTCCTTTGTTGTCTACCAGGATTTGCCTCCTGGCTAGGAATATTTTGGCCTTTTAATTTGGGTCTGGCCGGGTCTCCCGACTCGGTGTCTCTTGGTGTCTGATGCTGTCCCAAGGACCGGGCTGGCACACCGGACGGCCCGTGCTTGGAACCTGTGGATTATAGTTGTAGGGCTGGTTGTAGGCTTGGTTTTCTTAATGAAAAAACTTTCAATATCTCTGCCTCTCTTAATTTTCCCTCGTTTTGTCACGTTTATTTTATTTTTCCATTTCACTTAGTCAGCTATTGTGGCGCTCAGGTCGCGTGCAATTTTTAAACACGCACAACTTAGCGCGGTGAACAGGACCACAGCCAATCAGAGGCAAAGACCCGCCCGAGCTCTGTCGCTTATTGGTTTAGAACACGATATGATCCTACCATGAGTGTGTGAGTTCGGTCACAGGAGAACACAGAGAGATGATGAGAAAAAATGTATTTTCACCCGGGCCCCCTCGGGGCCCCCGGGCAAAATTAGTCGCACCCCTAAAAATTTTGGTCGCATGTGCGACCAAATTGGACCTGACCTGATGGCAAAGGCAAAAAGGCTTTCTGTCTTTGAACGTGGCAGGATTGTTGAGCTGCACAAGCAAGGCCTCTCGCAACGCGCCAGTGCTGCCGAGGTTGGACGCAGTAAGACAGTCATTTTAAATTTCTTAAAAGGTCCTGAGGGTAATGGGACAAAAATGTCAAGTGGTAGACACAAAAAAATGTCACCTGCGCTGAGCCGGAGGATCCAACAGGCTGTCCATGAAGACACAGGCCGATCCTCAACCCAAATTAAGGCCCTTACTGATGCTGACTGTAGCACAATAACCATCAGACAGCATCTGCGACAGAAGGGCTTAAAGAACAAAAAACGTCTTCAAAGGCCACTTCTCCTCCCACACCACAAACCTGCCCGTTTGCACTTTGCAAGGGAGCACCAAACATGGGACATTGAAAGGTGGAAGAAAGTTTTATTCTCTGATGAGAAAAATGTTTACCTTGACGGTCCTGATGGCTTCCAACGTTACTGGCATGACAAGGAGATCCCACTGGAGATGTTTTCTTGACGGCACAGTGGAGGAGGCTCCATCATGATCTGGGGTGCTTTTTCCTTCAATGGAACAATGGAGCTTCAGGTTGTGCAGGGGCATCAAACCGCAGCTGGCTATGTGGAGATGTTGCAGCGGGCATCCCTCTTGATGCCCTCAGGGCCCTCGTCTGTGTGGTGATCTACTGGGTCTTTCAGCAGGACAATGCTGCAGTTCACAACGCCCGCCTGATGAAGGACTTCTTCCAGGAGAATAACGTTGCTCTTTTGGACCATCATGCGTGTTCCACTTATCTAAATCCCGTTGAGAATGTTTGGGGATGGATGGCAAGGGACGTTTACAAAAAAACAAGCATGTCTAAACAAATTTTTGAAGTGATCAACAACAACGGTGGGGCTACTCACTACTGAGTCCTTTTTTTTACACTTTTAGTTCTGTTTTGGGGTTTTTTTAAGGCTATGGTCTTAAACTTTTGACCAGCTGATGAACAGCCTATTTGAGTTTAAATGCAATTTTCAATAAATTGCCAATGCTATTGTTTTGTCTCTTGCTCCTGTTTCTTCTTTTGGCATTTTGAAGCTCTACTTACAATCTTGTTATGTTCCACCAACGCAAAATGCGAATACTTGTCATTTTTCCCCCGGTTTTAAGATTTTGTTCAGGAGTGTATGTCTATCCAATCCAATCCAATCCAACTTTATTTGTTAAGCACTTTAAAAACAACCAAAGTTGACCAAAGTGCTGTACAGGAGAATAAATAAGACATCATAAATGTAAACAGTGATGGTGATGATGAAGACCACTGTGAGGAACATAGACAGTGATGATGATAACACTGGAAAGTTCCCGTGGCAGATAACATGGACGAAGTCCGACGGCGACAAGCTCGATGTCCGGGCCGCAGACATGCTCTTTCACACAGACGTGCCCGGGGTTACACCACCTGTTGTTTATGAGCACAGACAGTCCCCCTCCTTTCTTCATGCCGGTCGCGGTGGCGTCCCTGTCGGCTCGAACCGTCTGGAAGCCGGGCATGGTGACGTTGGAGTCCGGTATCTGCTCGTGTAGCCACGTTTGTAGGGTTTAAAGTTCCTCTTCTTCATCCTCCATTTAATCCCTGCTCTGCAGCCTCGCCGTCTCATCAGCTCCTCCGGTATGGAGGGTCTCTCTCCAGTCAGTATGCTAGGGTACCTCAGGGCGATCATCTGGTCACGGGTGTAAACAATGCGACTCGCCGTCACCATAGAAACCCGTGCAAACAAAAAATAAAAAGTGCTCAAAAACACCAAAAAAAGTATTTAGGCGACAGGAACAAAGTAGTAAGAAAGTAAGAAAGTAAGAAAACAGTTAAAAATAGCAAAAAACACACTGAAAACACACTAAAACTACAACAATGATAGGAGCTGCCATGACAGGCTGCCGTTGTCACCGACGCCATTCCATGGCCTCTGGTAGTGACCACTGGTCCGTGCCAGGTAGGAGCTGGTCAGGACTGTGCTGCAGGTCACGAACACACAGACCTGCATAATCGATAGTACTACTCATACAACTACGACTAATAATAATAATTTAATCATTGTTATTATGATTTCTATTAGTGATCAATAACATTGGATAGACAAACGATTATGGCTTCTCACATTTAAGCTATTCTGCTAACACAGTGAGGAATGGGAAAAGTTGTATTAAAAATAAATACAAACAAACAAACACTCCACAGACCACTCAACTGGTCCAAACAACAGAACAGATCACATAGGAGGTGGTCAAGACCAGTAATTTTAGTGCCCTTTGTGCCAGTAAGAAGCTGGTCATGACCGCTGTGCCACTGGTCGCGACCAGTGTCTTTAGCGCACCTACCTAGTGGTTGTGACCACTGGTCCGTGCCAGAGACCAACTAATCCGTGCCAGAGACCATAGTCCCGGGACAGACCACAGAATCGGCTACATTTGAGTGTACATGTGAGACCATCGAATGTACTCCAGGGGAAAGTTAAAGTAACTCTTTTCCGGAAGTTGATTATTTAATTCTTTTGTGGAGTAAAAACTGAACACTTATATATACAATACAACTCTCACCTGGAGTTCATTTTAATGTGAACTCTTTCATGGTGTTAACAGTCAACACTTAAAAATATGTTTTTATTCAACACTTTTCTGAGTTAATATTTAAAAAAACAAAAAAAAATTTAGGTGAAAATGACTACAAAAAACTTTGATTACCACACATTTTTATTTTAAATCATGTGTGACATTTTGAATTACAAACTGTAAACATTTTACAGCAAACCAACCAGACATATTCACATTTAAAACAAACTGCTTTAACAGCAGCTAAACAGTTGGAACAGGCAGTTATTTCAAAAATCATGTCAGTACCACATCTTTCTGTAGTGCATAAGAGACAAATGCAGAAAGTGCATAGTATAAAAGCATTGCACAAATTTCTGACAGGATAACAAAGAACTTTTCTGTAATGCAGGAATGTATTAACATGAGGTAGACTTTAAACCTGTAATTTAAGTACATAAACATGTACATAAAAACAAGGGTGAATTCCATATAGCCAATGTTAATACATTAAATAATATAACCCTCTGACATACAAATGTGAATCACACATCAGGCACACATATCTTTGCTGTGAGTTGACACTGAAGGGCCAGCCTCATAATTTGGGGAAGTAGAGGGTTTACGTTATTGTTTTGTGTGGGGGGGCCCAAAAAAAACAAAAAAAATTAAAAAAAAAAAAAATAAATTTTCCCCAAATTTTAAAAAAAAAAAAAAAAAAAAAAAAAAAATAAATTATAAAATTTGTCAGACTGGACAGAGCATCATCTTATTTCACACAGAAAACAAAGTGGGAATTAAAAAACCCAACAAGAAAAACACCCAAAGAAATAAAAAAAAAAAAAAAAAAAAAATTTAAAAAAAAATTAATTAAAAAAAAAAAAAATTTTTTTTTAGTAAGAGGCCTGGGGTTTGGGATGTTCTGGCATCATTAAAGCACTGAGAATTTATTGTGCTGTTGGCTGTCATGGCTAGAGGGTTAAGGGGTCTCAGGAGGCACACAGGTGGACTGTCCCCAACATCAAGTAAATAAACACCCAAATATCCCCCCCAAAAAGAAATCCACAAAAAAAAAAAAAAATTAAAAAAAAAAAAAAAAAACCAAAAAAAAAAAAAAAAAAAATTTTTTTTTTTAAACAAAATTTAAAAAAATTAAATCCAAAAAAAAAAAAAAAAAAAACCCAACCCCCACCCAAAAAAAAAAAAAAAAGACAACCAACTCACCCCCCCCCCCCCCCAAAAAAAAAAAAAATTTTTAATTTGTGGAAAAAATTTAAAGGGAAAAAAAAAAAAAAAAAAAATTTTTTTTTTTGATTATGGCATAAAATGTAATGGATAGGTGATTGATTTTATTATAGTAATAATGCAGCCACATTTAAAAATATCACCAGAAGCATGTATCTTAATCAAGTGTCTTCTAAATCCAGAATAACTTGAAAATTGCAAGCAACATCCTACTTGACAACATTTTATTCTCAAATTTTTGACACAAGAGCATTAGAGAGGTCCATACTGATGTTGGGTGATCAGGTCTGGCTCCAAGTCAGCGCTCCAGTTCATTCGGAAGGTGTTGGATGGTTGAGGTCAGGCCAGTGCAGTTCTTCCAAACTGGAAAACTATTTCTTTATGGATGTGGCTTATGCACTGTGTCCACAAAGTTGGAGGCATAGCTTTGTCTAAAATATTATTGTACACTATAACATTTAAATACCATTTATATTCCATTTTAGGGATGTGCATCTCCATCACTGAGGCTGATGCCATACGCATCTCAATGCATTTCCAATGATCCAATACACAAGGCAACTTCCACTGTGATATGATATGATTCACCCCTATTGTGATCGATTCAACACAATGCAATTCAATGCGACACAAAAGAATATGAGTCTATGCAATATGAAGATAGTTGGATTTTATTTCTTTGGTTCTTCTTCAGCAGCAACAGTTTAGAGAGGAGGACTTAATCTAAATATAAAACTATTTTTATATTTACTACATTTCTAAATAATAAAGGCATGCAGATGCAAAGATGTTAGAAATGATGCTTCCCAAGTTCATCCCAAATTGTATCCAATGCACAGGCAATCGCACCTAAAACTCTTATACCGGTGCACCGATAAACCAGTGAATCTTACCATCCCTAGTATGTATGCATACACAAGAGTAGTTGCATATAAGACTTGAGATTTTTGGTGACTGCGGTGAAGTGCTGTTGTAAAATGGAGGGAATAATATAATTCTATTTATATTATATTATTTACTTTATTTCTACATGAACCATTTTGTATTGTGCTTGACCCCTCCTGTTTCTGTGTTTGAGAGGAATGGGAATTTGATATTTTCTGGATTTCTTGTTAAAATTGCAAGTCATGAAAATATACTTCCTTCAACTGGCAATTCTAGCAGGTAGGTCAAAGTAGGTCTTCAAGTTTTGTTGTCTCTGGATCCGCTGACACACACACACACACACACACACACACACACACACACATCTTCCTCCTGCAACAGGGCCAAAAGGACCTCATCCAGTCTTTTCAGCACTAGGCACAGGGTTTGTTTAGACTGCTTTTGGTGTTCTCCAGGTGTTTTCTCCATCCACTGTGGATGCT